TATAGTAGGGATCCGTACGAACTCAAAATGGTGTAACATTTCAAAATCGGACAATATTTACCCGAGATATTCCAAAAAATCATCAAAAAAGTTTTTGTTTTCGAACTGAGCCCGATTTTTAGAAAAAACGTGATGTAACCTCTTGCCATTTTGTCGATTTTAAAAATGTTTGAATGTCAATTTATGGTAGGGATCCGTACGAACTCAAAATGGTATAACATTTCAAAATCTGACAATATTTACCCGAGATATTCCAAAAAAATCATCAAAAAAGTTTTGGTTTTCGAACTGACCCCGATTTTTAGAAAAAACGTGATGTAACCTCTTGCCATTTTGTCGATTTTGGTGAAAATTTAGATTTTCATTTTTTTGATGCCAATCGATAGTACTGATCCTTACGAGTCCAAAATGGTATAAAATTCCCAAATCGGACATTTTTTGGCCGAGATATCCCAAAAAATCATCAAAAAAGGTTGACTTTACAAACGAATCGGTATTTGGTCAACCACATTTTTTTACTCATCGATTATGAAAATGTTTGAATGCCACTTTTTAGTAGGGATCCGTACGAACTCAAAATGGTATAACATTTCAAAATCTGACAATATTTACCCGAGATATTCCAAAAAATTCAGCAAAAAAGTTTTGATTTTCGAACCGACCCCGATTTTTAGAAAAAACGTGATGTAACCCCTTGCCATTTTGTCAATTTTGGTGAAAATTTAGATTTTCATTTTTTTTATGCCAATCGATAGTACTGATCCTTACGAGTCCAAAATGGTATAAAATTCCCAAATCGGACAATTTTTGGACGAGAAATCCCAAAAAATCATCAAAAAAGGTTGACTTTACAAACGAATCGGTTTTTGGTCAACTTCATTTTTTTACCCATCGATTTTGAAAATGTTTGAATGCCAATTTATAGTATGGATCCGTACGAACTCAAAATGGTATAACATTTCAAAATCTGACAATATTTACCCGAGATATTCAAAAGAAATCATCAAAAAAGTTTTGATTTTCGAACCGACCCCAATTTTTAGAAAAAACGTGATGTAACCCCTTGCCATTTTGTCGATTTTGGTGAAAATTTATATTTTCATTTTTTTGATGCCAATCGATAGTACTGATCCCTACGAGTCCAAAATGGTATAAAATTCCCAAATCGAACATTTTTGGGTCCAGATATCCCAAAAAATCAACAAAAAAGGTTGACTTTACAAACGAATCGGTTTTTGGTCAACCTCATTTTTTGACTCATCGATTTTGAAAATGTTTGAATACCACTTTTCAGTAGGGATCCGTACGAACTCAAAATGGTATAACATTTCAAAATCTGACAATATTTACCCGAGATATTCCAAAAAATTCAGCAAAAAAGTTTTGATTTTCGAACCGACCCCGATTTTTAGAAAAAACGTGATGTAACCCCTTGCCATTTTGTCAATTTTGGTGAAAATTTAGATTTTCATTTTTTTTATGCCAATCGATAGTACTGATCCTTACGAGTCCAAAATGGTATAAAATTCCCAAATCGGACATTTTTTGGCCGAGAAATCCCAAAAAATTATCAAAAAAGGTTGACTTTACAAACGAATCAGTTTTTAGTCAACCACATTTTTTTACCCTTCGATTTTGAAAATGTTTGAATGCCAATTTTCAGTAGGGATCCGTGCGAACTCAAAAAGGTATAATATTTCAAAATCTGACAATATTTACCCGAGATATTCAAAAGAAATCATCAAAAAAGTTTTGATTTTCGAACCGACCCCAATTTTTAGAAAAAACGTGATGTAACCCCTTGCCATTTTGTCGATTTTGGTGAAAATTTATATTTTCATTTTTTTGATGCCAATCGATAGTACTGATCCCTACGAGTCCAAAATGGTATAAAATTCCCAAATCGGACAATTTTTGGACGAGATATCCCAAAAAATCATCAAAAAAGGTTGACTTTACAAACGAATCGGTTTTTGGTCAACCTCATTTTTTGACTCATCGATTTTGAAAATGTTTGAATACCACTTTTCAGTAGGGATCCGTACGAACTCAAAATGGTATAACATTTCAAAATCTGACAATATTTACCCGAGATATTCAAAAAAAATCATCAAAAAAGTTTTGATTTTCGAACCGACCCCGATTTTTAGAAAAAACGTGATGTAACCCCTTGCCATTTTGTCGATTTTGGTGAAAATTTAGATTTTAATTTTTTGATGCCAATCGATAGTACTGATCCTTACGAGTCCAAAATGGTATAAAATTCCCAAATCGGACATTTTTTGGCCGAGATATCCCAAAAAATCATCAAAAAAGGTTGACTTTACAAACGAATCAGTTTTTGGTCAACCACATTTTCTTACCCATCGATTTTTAATGCCAATTTATAGTAGGGATCCGTACGAACTCAAAAAGGTATAATCTCTATATATAAAACTGTTTGTCCTGACTGACTGACTGACTGACTGACTGACTGACTGACTGATTGGTGATCAACGCACAGCCCAAACCGTAAGAGCTAGGAAGCTGAAATTTTCACTGTAGTTACCTTATGTGATGTAGGTGCACGTTAAGACGGGGTTTCGGGAAATTCCACTCGCAAGTGTGGAAAAATCGCGAAAAACGTTTGTATGTAACTTTTTTGTTTACCATCCGATCGGCCTCAAACTTATTTTCAAAGATCTTTGTTCAAATTTATTTGAGGGGTGTTTCACACTTTTCGAAAAATACGTTCCTCCTTGGTGGAAAGAAGGTCAAAGATTTGGTGGGTGACGTTTCGCGCTCAAATTCATTTCCAGAGATCTATAAGAAAAATCATTTGATACGTGTTTCACACTTTTCGCAGAATTCAAACTTCTTCGGGGGGAATGCGATTTAAAGATTTTTTGGGCGAAGTTTTAAGTTTTGTCCGATTTGCTTCAAACTTATTTCCAAAGCTCTAAATAAGAACTTAATAAATACGTATTTCAGCGATTTGGGAAATTCCACCCGCAACAGTGGTAAATTGGCGGAAAACGGTTGTATGAAAGTTTTTTGTTTACCATCCGATCGGCCCCAAACTCATTTTCAAAGATCTATGTTCAAATTCATTTAAGGGGTGTTTCACTCTTTTTGAAAAATCCATCCCTCCTTGGTGCAAATGAGGGTCGAAGATTTGGTGGATGACGTTTTGTGTTCAAATTTATTTCCAAAGATCTATAAGAAACATCATTTGAGACGTGTTTCACATTTTTCGAAAAAACCTAACCTCCTTCGGTGGAAAATGCATTTCAATGTTTTTTTTGGTGAATTTTAGCAGCAGCCGGGTAGAAAGAGACCTCGCTGGGAGGTGTATAGTCCAGGGGCTCAAGATAAGATATTTCAAGGACCTCCTCCAACCACGACATAGGAGACGCCCAGAGTCCCCCGACACCCTACGTGACAAAGCAGCCTTATTCAAAAAAGCTGCCATTGACGTTTGTGCACGATAAAGCCTGAGGCTTTGCGAAATATCACCTAAGCCAACTGTGCTTTAATAAAAATGTATTCTATTTTTGATTCAATCCAATAAAAAAATTTTTAAAAAAAATAAAAAAACAACTTTTTTAACCCAATTGATAGTAGGGATCCGTACGAAAAAAGGTATAACCTTAGACAACAGTCTCGTCAGCAGGCACCGTTCATTGAGTTTGCCGCCTCGTGGGCAACAGTTTATTTGGACTGTAAGAGCCTAAGGATGAGTCTTTCCAGGTTTATTGATCTTACATCGTATTGCCTTCTTCCATTGACTGGGAACGTTTCCTAGTCTCAATACCGCATTGAAGAGCCCGACTAGATTTTTTGTTGTTTTTTTAGTTTTGTTCTGTTTGCTGGTTTTTTATACCCTTGCAGAGGGTATTATAATTTTGTCGTGAAATGAGTAACGCATAGAAGGAGACATCTCCGACCCCATTAAGTATATATATCCATGATCAGTATCCAAAGCCGAGTCGATATAGCCATGTCTGTTTCTATGCAAACTAGTCTCTCAGTTTTAAAGCTATCTTTATGAAACTTTACAGAAGTTTATCTTTCTGTCGCAGTACATATGTCAAAACCCACTGGATCGGACCAGTCTATCATATAGCTGCCATAGGAATGATCGGTCGAAAAGTAGGTTCTTGTATGAAAAACATTTTTGTTTATCAAGATATCTTGATCAAACTCGGCATTTATTAGTTTTACTATGCTCCCTCCATGTATGCAATATCTTATATATGTACATAGCCCTTCTTTCTGGTTTTTCTTATATGTATGTACATTTATATGTGTGTACTTATATATGTATGTATGTAAGTACGTGTCTACATATGTATGTACATATATAACTATGTATGTATGTATACATGATGTATGTACATATGTATGTATGTATGCACGATTTATGTATGTATGTATGTATGTTTGTTTGTATGTAAGTATGTATATATGTATGTATATGTATGTATGTATGTATGTATGTATGTATCTATGTATGTATGTATCTATGAATGTATCTATGTATATATGTATGTATGAATGTAAGTACGTAATGTAAGTAAGATGATGTATGTATGCTTGATATATATAGGTTTATATATTTAATATATATTTAATATCTATGCTTATTTTGTATATGTGAATGCTTCTATGCATAAATTAATGGATGAATGTTTTTATATGTAACATCACTTTCGCACCGAACTAGTGAGTGAACAGATTGCTGAGAGGGTTTCCACATAGCTCTACGAATATTTAGTACACTGCCTTTACTAACATTCAACTTATTTGCGTTCGAGCAAGGCTAGCTTGTTCTTGGAATTGAGTCTTGGAAAGGGCCCAGAAGATGTTGTAGTGTGACATCTTCTCTAAACCTGAACCCATAGCCATGGAAACAATTTCAAAATTTTCGGTGCACATATTAAGCTGAAAAAAAAGTAAACGGATTTCGCTTGAGCAAAATTGACAGATATTACCGATAAATTCGTCAAGCGTTTCGACTTATGGAGCAACGTCTAAGGCTACTGAGCAAAACGCAGCCACCATCCGCAATGCCAACAAAAATACGACGGATCCGTCGCCTTTGTGTTAATATTGAGGACAACGGCTGCCGTCCTTGCCGTTGCTTGAAGTCAATGAATTCGCCATATTATCGGGACGAAAGCGTGTACTACAATCCTTGGGATTACGACAAAAGCAACCAAATGCAGCAGCACATGAACTCGGCAGTCTATGCCTATGCTGTGCACAATCTCTGCTCGCCTAATGCGGCAGCCGGTCCGAGCTCCGGCTCGAATTATGGCGGCACACGCCAGCCGGCCGGGGTAACCGTATGCAACAATTCCAGCCAGGAGGAGACCATTGCGGAGCTCAAATTTATGCTGGACACGCTGGAGCATCAGCAGCATATGACGGACATGGGCGCCTTCTACAGCTCCGCTGCCCAGTCAACGAATAGCTTGAGAAGCCAGCCCAGCTTTCACCCATGCGTGCACCCATTCTTCCACCCAAACTTTCAGCCAAGCCAGGAGCCAAGCCTGCAGCCAAGCAGCTGCTCGACAAACGCCTCACAGAATTCCGAGGGCAGCGCACAACATACTGTCCTGGATTACACCCAGCATTTGGGCGAGTCGTTTGCGGAAGAAGGAAAAGCGGAAGGAAAAGCGGAAGAAAAGGGGGCTACCGAGGATGTGCCTCCGCAAAGCGATCGAGATATGCAAATAAAAACGCTCACGGATCTGATGCGCCAGACAATGCGCAAGCTGGACAGCTACATGGCGCTGCAATCCGTGCAGCAGCAGCAGCAGCAGCTGAACCTGAACTCGTATCTGGATCTGCCACGGCTGACACAGTATATGGACTCGTCGCTGCCAATGACCCTGGTGAACAAGGCACGCGGCAAGCGGCTGGTAAAGGTCATGCCTGTGCAGCCGCTGGTCATAATGCCGGCACAAACCGCAACCGTTGCCCCACCAGCGCCAGCTGCTCCGGTCGAGCCGCCCGGCAAGCCCGATAGCACCAAATATCGTATGCGTGTTCGCAGAAAACGTCCGCCCAGCGCAAGACCCACAAGCAAAAGCCCGGCCGCCGAGAGCTGCCCGGCCAGCTCCCAAGTGGGTAAGTCTCCAATATAAACCCAACTTTGGGCTTTATCATTTAATGCCCGTTTTCTTTATTTTCCAGGGGCGCCTGGACAAAACATGCGCGATAGCAGCACCACCATGTGGTGTCCCAGGGATTGCTGCAAGCACTGCTGTGGCGTGGTTACGGAGAGCAGGACAAGATTACCCAAGCCGGAGCCAGCACCGGCTGCCCCGGTATCCATTCCCATACAGCTGTACACGATGGGGCCCGTGGGCATGTCTCCGCAGCCCAGCTCAATAGATACGAGCAGGTGTCCAAGATGCGCTGAGTGCGTGCCTCCACCGTTGCCCAAGAAGCCGCTACCAAAGCTGCAGCCGAGCAATCACGATTCGGACTATGACATTCGATACCTCGTGAATGCTGAAGTGGACCGAAACAGGGCTGGCAAGCTTAGCTACGCATATATAGAGGAGCAGGAGGAGGAGGAGGAACAGGAAGAAGAGGAGGAGCAGGAGCAGCAGCAGAAGCTGGCCCAACGCCTCCCTCGCAACCTGAAGCTGGAGCCAGAGACTGAGCTAGAGCCGGAGCCGGAGCCGGAGCAAAGTAGCTCGGATCACTGGTATAAAAACGCACGGCGTAGTTTGGCTCACTTGGAACAGCAGGAGAGCTACTTCTCCATGGAGCTGGAGCAGGAGCGGGAGCGGGAACGGCGAGTGGCGGCTTCGGGGTGCACCTGCAACAAGTTGCAGCAAACGGATTCCTGCAGCACCATGGACATCTCAACGGACAGCAGCATGACACCCACACGTTTCATAGCCACCACGGACAAGTCGGTGTCGACCAACGACATGCAACAGGAGCTGCAGGCTGCAAAGAGTCCGTCCGTCAAGATTGTGCGCATCTACAAGACGTCCTCCATGAAGTCCAGGCGCGGCAAGTCCTTGTCCAAAAATAAATCCAAGGTCAAGTTTGACAAGGCCCAAGCGAAGCTGCATAAGGTGGAGTCCAATGTGAATCCGTTCCTGGTGCCGCCGCACCAGCAGCTGCCCAAGTATCGCATACTCAAGTCCATGAGCGAGGCTTTACCCAATGGCGGGCGGCCGTGCGAAAGGAAACGCCGCTATACGGCGGAGCAGGAGGCCCGGTATCGGCGACTTATGGAGGAGGTCGAGAGCATAGGCGAGATGGAAAGAAATGTCAGCAACGAATTCAAATGCAATCCCATGGCCAGTAGCTCACGCTTGCGCTGCCATGGCGGCTCAGCTTCATCCGTTTATCCGACCGGCTGGACGCAGTGAGAAACACACACAGTAGGCATACGCAGCAGGCCATATTTGTATTCGAGTTAAGTATTTGAAATTTGAACAGGGGGAGATGGATACAAATTAACTGAGCAACTATGAATAGAAATGAGCCTCAAGTGAGTGAGACTGGTCGTGGTGTTTCGGGTCGTCCGGAGGGGGACGAGGCGAGCGAGCAATGGCCGGAGGCCAGCTCAAATCCAGCGATACGGCAGAGAGCATGTGTTTCCTGTTGCAAGAATTGCGTGGTGCATCGGCTTGATGTTGAAACTGGGCTCAGACCCGGCTCCGATCCTCAACGCGCAGCTGATCAATGGGACAGAACCGACTCTGAGCCTCAACATCAGGACAATTCATGGGATAGAAACTATCGCGAACCACAGCAAGCTAACACATATGAGCCCAAAAACACCAAACTCCTAGCTAATACGATAGATCATGACTATTTCGAGCGTCCATCCCGACGCAGCTCAACAGTCCAAAACTATGCCCAGCCGCAGGGTCAAGCTCACTATCCTCCTCCTCCGCCTCAACCGCAGCCGCCAACTGATGCTGGGTTTGGCACAAGACCAGCAGAAACTCAATCCGAGGACCCTCCAATCAGCAGTCAGCAGAGGCCCACCATACTGGTCATCGTGGTCAAGTAGGTAGAGCCCCAACTAATCTCGGCTGTCAACTTAACAAATAATGTATATTGTTAAGAATTTATATTTTCAGTCACTATTAATAACCGAGCCGAACAACTTATTTAATCTGTCCACTTATCCTCCATTCCCCTATTCCCCCAAATTTCAAAAAAAATTGTCTAGGTATCTTGGCATTCCAATGCCACCTTCTAGCCCTGAGGTTGGGGCAAAACTCTCAGTTGTTATTTAAGTAAACTTAATCTTATAAACTGGAGATAGGATAGAATAAGCTGAGTAGCTTGTCTGCGCGTAAATATGTCCCTTTGGACAGCTCTGAATACAGGATATTATCTAGTCGGACCCTTTCGACTAGAACCCTTGCTATTATTTCAATTGCAATTTGCTTTGCCCTATAGCTATTTGATGCATTCCCAATTTAGCCACAAAAATTCAGCTGGAGCCCCTTTAAATAATGGCTGTAATCCCGTCGCTTATCAAGCCGACTATCGGGATCCACCCATCTACCCAGACAGAAATAGCATCAACGAAATGAATCTGAATCGCGCTTATGGCCCTGCAGAGAATCAATACTATCCGAATGTCTAGTAAGTTTTAGCTAATAGATCATTAGCATCTGGTATTGCATTTGGCTTGCCAAGGATATATTTCGTAGACTTGGGTTGTTTTCACAGAGAGCTTTTATTCCGAAGAAGAAATAAAATAGGAAATCGATATTTTGCATGTTCAAAAAAATAAGAAGAAATTATCAAATCATCTCGCATTTCATGTGCAAGCTAAAATATGCATATACTCCTCTTGAAAACAACCCGACCACTGCGTTCTTATTACACTCTATTATCCATTATTCATTATTTATTATCTATTATTCATTATCCATTATTCATTATCTATTATTCATTATCCATTATTCATTATCCATTATTCATTATCTATTATTCATTATCTATTATTCATTATCTATTATTCATTATCTATTAATCATTATCCATTATTCATTATCCATTAATCGTTATCCACAGCGCAACATATCCAAACCAGGAACAGCGCGTCCAAATTGGGTAAGTCAAAGCCCTGCTGAAACAGACCAAGCCGCTTAGCTGAATTCGCATTTTTATAGACCATACGATGCGCCTGCCAGGTTCAACGATGATGATTGCTGCTGCAGTAGGTAAGTTGGAGAGCATCCTAAGCCACATCGTCTCAACGCTCACCTTGTTAGACCATACGGCCGAGCGCAGACGGGCTACGAGCAGCAAGTCCCAAATGGGTAAGTTCCACGAGGGATAAAGTCATGTTTAATACTTCTTCTATAATTCAGTAGAACAATGGGCCAAGGTAACAGGTGTAGCTTTGGGCAGCAAGCCAGAAATGGGTGAGTTTAATGGAAGACCGAGTCACGTTCAATATGTCATCTGTAAATCAATAGAACAATGGACCAAGGTCACAGGTGTAGCTTTGGGCAGCAAGTCAGAAATGGGTGAGTTTAATGGAAGGCCAAGTCAGGTTCCCTCTAATAGAAGTCGGGCTCAATACGTAATATATAATTCCATAGATTAAGGGACGGAAGTCGCAGGGACACCTATGAAGTGGAGCGGGATGCCAGACAACGTCACAAGGCCTATGCCAGCCAAGCATTGCAGTGTCGAGACCGCTGCCCAATAAACAATCAGAGATCAAATTCATTCTATAATGATATTGGATCAGGGCGTGGCACGGGAACGACCATTGGTCAGGGTGAACGCAGTTTTGAGTTTAGTGGCGGCAGGGAAGCATCCTTTACCAGCATAGCCGATCAAAGTGTAGCCGATCCGAGCGTAAACGATCAGAGCGTAATCGATCCGAGCGTAACCGATCGAAGCACAACCGAACGAAGCACAACCGAACGAAGCTTAACCGAACGAAGCTTAACCGAACGAAGCTTAACCGATCAGAGCGGCAGCGGCGAATGTGTCTGTGATTCAAGGTGTGACTGTGACTGTGAATGTGAGCTCCGTGATCTGGAGAATACGCTCGAGAGCCTCGTGCCCAATGAGGAGTGCTTATGCTATTTGGATCAAATGGAAAGGGACAAGAGAGCGAAAGTTAAGAAGAAAAAGCAGCGAAAACCAAAAGTCATTTACGATCGATTCGCAACTCCACCTTTTGTAATCGAGCCCAAGACCTTTTGCCTAGGCTGCCTAGGCTGCAACAGGTCCTGTTGCCATCCCTGCTGTGGTCGTTGCTGTACCTCCTGCTACCCCTGGTGTCAGTCAAGATGAGGAAAATACAAAGGGTTGCTCAGCTGATGTGTAACCCATGTGAAAACTGCTCGCATATGAAATTCAACCATAACACCACAAATAAAGTTATAGATCCTACCCCGAAACAAAATAGGAACGGAAAACTGTGTCAATACTTGTCAAAATATGGGGCTTTTTATTTATATAAATTGTTTTCTTAACACCTAGACGCACTGACAATGTAACTGAGCCTAAAGCTAAACCCACGGCAATTGGCTTCAAATGGCGGGATTACGCAAAAAGAGACGTACCACTAAACAGGCCCTGCTCCGGCGGGCTGTCATTAAGGCGGGTCGCATTGCGGACGACACTATATATAGGTCTGCGCTGTATGATGTGCCCCAAACTAGATCCAGTCCCCAGGCCAAGGCCATAACTGTTCTGCCTTCCTTTAACAAGGATGCGCAGATGGTGCATATCATGCAGCGCAGCCTATCTAACAACTCGGGCTCCAGCTGGGAGCCGAGGGGTGCGCAGCGAATATTAAGAATCAAGCCCAACAGGACTGAGGCTAAGCTACAACACCTTTTACTCGAAACGCCCTTCAGGACGGTTGAGCAACGCAAGGAGGCGGGCAATGTGGCAGTAAAGAAATTAAGCCCCAAGAAACCCAATACCAACGGTAAGACCTACGCAACAGAAGCCCCCTTCAAAGAGTAAACCTTGTCGTCTTACAGATAACAGATCAGGAGTTAGCTTGAAAGCGCTCGAGCCCTCGAAGGGCTCCAAGGGCTCACGAGCTAGCTCATTGGGCTATCCATCCAGTTGGAATTTGGACGTGCCCGGGGAGGACGAAATCACTACAGTGATTGCCAATGAGCTCAGCCTAAGCGATATAGTCAATTGCGAAGTACTCAATCGTACTGTCTACGATCACCGGCTGAACGCCCCGGTGACCCTACGTCGACCCACTAAAATTGACAATGCCGTGCAGTGTGTGCTGCCGCATACGACAAAGACCGCGACACCGCGACGTAAGAAAGCGGCCGGGGTCCAGACCCAAACAACTACCAAGCGTCGATTGTCAACCCCAAAGCCAATACAATTTAAGCTACCACGATTGCAAAGGATCAGGTCCAGAATGTTTCCGATTGGTAATAGGCGCAGCATTTCTCCGACGGGCATTATACGCATGGACCGGCTGCTGGGGATCACCCATAGAGGAATGCGGCCCCGTGTGCACAGTGGCAAAGCGGATTTACAGTCGGAGAGCGTGTTCGGCAATGTTGATAAGAATCCCAGATCCAAGCGGCGAACATCGCCAAGGTCGAGCTCGGGTGGCAATGCTGAGGAGCAAGGAACGAGAAAGTTCCAAACTGGCAAGGATCACAACTATGGCGGTTACACACCATCGGATTGCAGCTGCGAAACCAATAGCAATGAAAGCCTTGTGAAACAAAAAAAATTAACGGCAGCCCCTAAAGCATCCACCGAGCATTATAGTCGCATTGAGAAGATAAGTCAACCGCCTCCCGTAAAGGAACGTAGAAACCAAAAAAATGAAACCAGTTTTCTTGCGTGTGAGTGCGAGGACCAACCAGACAACCAATTCAAGACCCGTCAAGCCGCTTGCCTCAAGGTAAAGTGCCCCAATAATAATTGGGATTCAAGAATGACCAACGAACAAAGAATGAAAGAAGCAGGAAGCAAGGCGGGCACGTCGGGCACATCGGGCACATCGGGCCATGTGGGAAGTGCGCATTATTGTTACTGCAGTCAAAAGAAGTCCAGTGCTGGGCCTAAGAACGTGGTCTTCGAGAGTCAAGAGTCGACCGGAGACAATAACGACACGGAGCAGACACAAAACAGTTCCAGTGACCAAAGGTTTGCCCATCCGCAATCGGACACGAAACTGACTGCTGTCGCTAGCGGCCCGTGTCAGTGTCCCAAATGCTCCAATGCAGTGACACAGACGCTAAAAAGTGACCGAACGAGAGGACACCATGGACAAAATGGGGCAAAAACCAGAGAGAATTCTGAAAACAGTTCCGAGGAATGCATCTGCAAATGTGCGGAGTGCACCAGAAAGGGCACAGCGACTTGCAACTCGAAGGGAACAAGCGCTGTCTGCAACTGCAAATGTCCCGATTGCGGCAAGGCAAAATCCAAAAGTCGTCAACCATCTAACGGAGCCACACAAAGCTCAAGAGAAGGGAAAACTTCAAGTTCAGATCGAAGTGCAAAACAGAGCTCAAGGGAATCGAGAGTTCCGAAACCTGCCCGAGAAACAATGCACAGCTCCAGAGAGGCAAGGCCTTCAAGGCCTGAGAGGAGATCGACGCAGAGCTCAAGAGAAGCAAGAGCCCAAAGTCCTGTCCCAGGAGAGAACCCTCAAAGTACTGTCGCCCGCTCAACGCGAGTTAAATGCCAATGCCCAAGAGCCAAAACTCTACGAGCGCTGCGTGAATTCAACGAATATTGCATCTGCGCATGTTCCGGTTGCTCAAATAGAGAACAACAACCTACCATAGATGCTGACATGACTGCCAGAGAAAGGATGCACGATAGGTGCCCATGTGAATGTCATGGCTGCAGATTTGTTCGGAAGCCACGCAGTCCGAGGTCAAGCTCGTCAAGCCCTAGAAGTGACCAGGGTAGTCCAGCGAGAGACCCAATTAGCGGTTCCGCTGCACGGCAGCGGACTACTGCACAGCCGAGAGCTGCTTCCAGGAGACACCCAGATGAATCCCGTGCTTCCAGGCCGAATTACAATGCCCAGCACACTTCCACAAAGGGCATTGGCAAAAGGAATCATGACCAGAGGAATGAAAGTCCGTCTAGTGACAACTCTTCCAATGAATCGATCCACAAACCGTCTCGCAATAACTCCATTAAGGAAAGGACGCCAACTTCTTCCATAAGCTCAAACCAGGACAGCAAAGCGAAGGCCATCCCGATTAACAAGAAGGTACAATGCGACTGTAAGTGCCCCAACTGTGGCATTAGCATCAATGACTTCTCCCGGGATGAAAGAAACAAGACTACGGCGTATAAACGATCAGGTGATGAAACTAGTGGCCAAAGCGAAACGGAGCAGAGTCCAAATAAGTCGCTTAGTCAAACCCAGTCCAAGCAAGATGATGCGGCAAGGGTACCTAGGTCCAAGCAAGATGATGCGGCAAGGGTACCTAGGAACGAACAGGGTATGGGAGCCAATTTATATGGAAGGAAAAGGTATGGAGCCAACAAGAAAGAGAGCATGGAAGACACAGAAAAAAGAAAATGCGAAGAGGAATGCAAAATCTGTGAAACCATATTGGCTAAGAAAAAATGGAACGAAATGGAATTGAAAAACAAAAACGATATGGAGTCGAAAAACAAATACGATATGGAATCTAAAAACAAATACGATATGGAATGTGAAAACAAATGCGACATGGAAGCGATTAGCAAATACGATAAGGAATCGAAAAACAAATACGATATGGGATCTAAAAGCAAATACGATACGGGATCTAAAAGTAAATACGATATGGAAGCGAAAAGCAAATACGATACGGGATCTAAAAGCAAATACGATATGGATCGGGAACATAAAGACGATATGGAAGCGAAGACCAGGAACGATGTGAATTCGCTTCGGAGGCCACATTGCAATTTGGAGACGTGCAATAGAAAGTGTAACAAGTGTAAAATAATCCCGGCAAAAACGAAAATGGGCGATGCCATGGTTAACCTTGTTGTGGACGATAAATGCAATGTGAATCAAATTATTCAAATCTTGCAGGAGACAGTTTCACAGCTGGAGGGACAAAAGAAATTGCTCAGTCAATCCGTGGTGAATGCGGTTGTTACCCAAAATGCCAATATTAACAATGTTCAGAAGAATTATGCAAATGGCACTTGGACCTCCTTGAATCCCAACTATATGCCAGAAGCTTATTCCGCGTCAAATGGGTCACAACAGAAGCCATATAGGTGCGTCCAGCGCCAGAACTGTCCATGCTATATGTCGGACTCTCAGGATCAGGAGCAACAATATAAACAGACGGCCTATGACACATATCCAGAATACAATCCATTCCAACAGCGAAATGGTCAGGTGGAAGGCGGTCCCCAAGCGTTGCGTAGAAACGGAAATCATATTGTTTACGTTGACCAATCCAGCCTTGAGTATCAGCCAACAGAGGAGTATTGTTACTGTTCGCCTGATCAAGATCATGATACGTTTATGGCTATGGATCCAAATGCTCGCAATCCAAATAGTCTTCGCAGTCGCAGCGGCAGCGCATATCCCTTGAAGAATAACGCCAAAACGCGTGAAATTCTGCAAAACATCAAGCCTACGAAATCGTTTATAGATATGTTTCATATGGCCATGGCTTTAAAAGGAAACAAAAGCTTCTTCCACAATCCTAATCCACATGCTTCCTTCTACAGTCAAATGTCCAAAGACTATCCACAGTATGCGAGCAACATCTTAATTGCTGCTAAAAGGGAGCAAGCACCTGGCAAGCAGCTCGGTAGAGATCCGCGATTTTATGCACACAATGCAACATCTATGGAACATATCAGGAAACACTCTCCAGAACAAACAAGTCCGAAATATCCTACGAGCAAAATTCCAAAGCAAACTCTTAAATTTTCTTCCCATATAGGAATAAGCGACAGAAGAAATAGTCCGCTACGACTGCAGGAACAATCGGAGCAGGAACAGAGACACCGAAGACAGGAAAGAGATGAGTTTCATTTTTTTCGAAAAGATAACAACGACATTTTAGAACAACATAATCGAGAAGATCTAGCCCGACTACAACCAATTTTGTGCGCTGAAATCCATGATAAATCTAAAAATCCATATTTTAGCCGAGGACAACAAGCTCAGCGAGATTTATGCCGAAAACACTCTGATTCGGAATACACTGAAGTACCTGATAAAAGTCCGTGTGAAGCACAAGTCCCAAAGCTAATAAAAGATAACCCATTTCTTCAGAAAATGGAAAATTGTTGTATTGAGCCGCCGTGTGAATTCCGAAAACGTCAACATCAAGATTTATATTCTTCTCGTTTGCATTTCTGTCGAAAACATCCCAAAACTTCCAAGGTGTCAATCCACAGAAAAAGATGTTTCGACAAAGAGTTTAAATATTGCAGTGAATTTTGTTGCATGGAAAAACCCAACAGACGCGATCTACACAAAATGCATCCGGCCGTGTCTGTCTACGGGCATTCGAAATCGCAAAGTAGCTTCGCTCTTGGTGGATGTAGGCATAGAAAAAAACTAGGATCTATGCACAGCCGGAAGATAAGTTTTCCAAAATTGGAAGCTTTCGCATCCAAACACATTGAGTCCAAGCGCTCGCAAACATCCGTTGTCGATGCCTTCCGTAAAAAATTACAGGATTTAAAAGAAAATGCTCTGCAAGAGAAGAACTCAAATATTTGCTGCAATTGCGAAAATGCTCTACAAAAATATGAACCAACATATAAAGTGGATCTATTCGGAAACAGTTTAGATCAATCGAAATCGATACCGTCTAAATTAAGATTCGGCTTATATGATTGCAAATGTCCCGAAACGCTAAATATAGAGCTCCCGACCGAGTTAGGAGCAAAGAAATCGGAATCAAAGAGCGATCAGTCATTTTCACAAAAACCAAATGGCGAGAGGAAAGTCAAAGAAGGACCAGATCTTTCGGAATCGAAGAAATCGGAAAAGAAAGGCATTCTATATGCGAAGAGAAGACAAACTGGGGAAAAGAGAGAAACTGAAGAATCAGAACATTTAGAAACAAGAAACAGCCTGTTTCCGATCAGAAAACGGGCAGGTGAAAAGGCAGAAACCGAATTTTCAGATCATTTGGCATCAAAGAGATCCAGATCAAGAACCAGCTTATTACCGACCAGAAGACGGGCGGGGGAAAGGAGAGAAAGCGAAAAATCATTTCTTTTAGCATCGAAGACTCAGTCAAGAGACACCCTACTTCTGGCCAGAAGGTGGGCAGGTGAAAAGGGAGGAAGAGAAGAGTCAGATCATTTTGAAAGAAATCAATCTCGAATCTCTATTGGTAAACGGCGAATAAGTGAAAAGAGAGCGAAAGAGATTTCGTACATTGAGGAGAGCAAAAACTCCAATTCAATATCGTTCGGTGTATATTCTTACCTAGACAAAACAAAAAGGGGAAGAAAAGTACCTGTGGAAATTCCAGAAATAAATCTTGCCAATCATGCTGAGCTAGAGTCCACACAAAGCCCGAAATTGCAAGGTCTGCTCGCCCTCGGGAATAGAACAAAAAAGGACAGGAAGCCTGTACCGATACCCCCTGAAAAGCCAGTGAAAAAAGTTGTATCCATATCAAGTGGAATTTCTAGTTTCAAGCGTCGCAAGTCGCGTCGCAATTCTCAAAAAGAACAAAGCGATTGCGATGATGTTAAGGTCCTCTACGATTCAAGCTATAAATTTTCCAAGCACAGTTACGGAGACGCTGATTCAAACGATGACTGCGAAACAGAATTAAAGAGACATGCCTTGTTCAAATCGCAGCCAAGCTCAAGTCAAAATAATTTCTTCTGCATGTTGAAAGCTCGGGATAAATATATGGGATGCCACGAATATTCAAATTAATTGGCAAACTGCGCATTAAAGCAGCATCAAAATTTTAGGAATACGTTATTTCAGTAAATAAAAAACAAGGTGACAACAAACAATTGTTGATGGCTTTTTAACACTTGTCAACACTTACCGAAACACTATACCGAAAACACCCTGTGGCGATAGTATGTGGCGGTCATTCGATTAAATGTTATCGATAGGTCTGAACAACATCAACAATTGGGCCTCGTTTTAATTGTTGTAAAATGTTAAATTTTTTAAATAAAACACGACAATTGCTCTATCCGAATGTGCGCAGTCTGTCGCATACACTCACAGCCTGCCAGAGCAATGTGACCGCTGAGTCCACAACGGCGGCAAGCAATAACGCGGTCGTCACCAAGCCGGCGCTAATATTGCCACAGAACTATGCCGAATACGCGCCCGTGAATCGAAATACTGCACGGCAGGCGTGGATTGAAAATGTTGATGCGGTGGCAGAGCGTAAAGTGGGGCTTATGGAACTGCATCCAGATGTGTTTGCCGCGCAGCCGCGCGTTGACATCATTCAGGAGAACATCGAGTGGCAGCGCAAATATCGTTATGTAAGCATGGCACATACCAAGACACGCGCCGAAGTGCGCGGCGGCGGTCGCAAGCCTTGGCCGCAAAAGGGCATGGGCCGTGCTCGACACGGCTCCATACGATCACCGCTGTTCAAGGGCGGCGGCGTCGTACACGGCCCGCGATCCCCAACCAGCCACTTCTATATGCTGCCCTTCTACAAGCGGGTGCTGGGCCTCACATCGACGCTGAGCGTTAAACTGGCGCAGGACGATTTGCACATCATTGAGAACGTTGAGATACCAACACGTGATGCACAGTTCATTAAGGATCTGATCCAAGAGCGAAACTGGGGACCATCAGTGCTGATTATTGACAAGTAGGTTGGCGGCTTTAAATTTGTTTCTTCAAGTGTTTTATTGAAGCAATTTCTTGCAGGCAAGATATCTTTCCGGAAAACATTTGTTACGCTACCGACACACTGGGCTATGTGAATCTGATGCCCGCCTTCGGTTTGAATGTCTACTCCATGCTGAAGCATGACACCTTGGTGCTGACTGTTGATGCCGTCAAGCATTTGGAAGAGCGTCTGCTTTTCCAGTTGCATCGCAATGATGCGGCCAGCAAAGGCTCCAAATTCAAGCTGGATCAAGTTTAAATATAAGTTTTTTTTTTTTGTTTTATTGTATACACTGCTCCAAATGCAATTTATATCCAGTTTGATGACTATTGTTTAACTTGTTGTGCTGCCTGCGAGCTACCTCTAAACACTGTGTGCAGTGGATCTTGGTCCTTCTCTGATATCAACACTTCGCATGTGCCCTGCAAGCGCTTCTCTAGTATGGGCTTAAATTCGCGCAAAAAGCCACGTTCCGAGTTACTGTGGTTACACAGCAGCACCGTGGTGCCATTGTGATTAAAGTCTAGCAATTCGTGATGTGACATCTCGCCAGTTATCACAAGATCCGCCTGCACGCCTTTTAACAATGAGCCTCCGGAGCCGGCGCAAATGCCGACAGTCTTCACAAAAGTCTTCGAATGATGCCCGACGGCAAAGGCCACGTGCACGCTATTCTCAATGTGGTCCTGTAGAGCGTGCACCAGGTGCGAAATTGGCATGCTGGTCTCTATCAAACGTCCCGAACCAGTGCCCGGTTCCGCACCTGGTTCTGGAATCAATGGCTTTATGCCCTGAATGTCTACGGCCTTGGCCAGCCAATCGTTCACCCCACCCGGCACTTTGTCCCAGGCAGTGTGCGGCGAATACAGTGCCACAGAGTTAACTAAACACGTTGCCACAATTCGTTCCTTCCAGTTGGCCATGGTGATGCGTGTGAGCGCCTTGAAAATTGGCGGGTGGTAGCTAATAATCAGATCCGCCTTCTTTTCTAGAGCTTCGCTCATCACCGGCTCGGTAAGATCATTGGTCAGCAGTATTCGCTCAATTTGTTTCTGTAAATTCTCCTTTTGTATAACGAAGAATATTTAAATTGTATAGTTTTAATGCATACATCTTTACTTGGCTCGATCAACAGGCCCACGTTGTCCCATTTCTCGGCCAGGGCTGTGGGCGCAAAGCTTTCCAGCTGTTTGACCACTTGGTCAAGTTTCTGTCCGCATAAGGTTCCCATGCTCCTTCTCACACTGACCACGCAACGTAACATTCAAAACTAAACTTATATGTTTATTATTAACACATTAATTTCATCTGAAGTTGCATTTGTTTTGACATTTAGTGCTGGACAACGTCTGTGGAAGTTTCGTCTGCATTTCCCAGCACAGCTTGATTCAGCGCGTGTTTGAATAATTATATATTACACGTGATTACAAATCAGCAAAAATTACACGATTTTTGGCTTTATTTAAATGTAATACAGCTTTTATTATAGTCTAGCTGGGGCAATATAGTCCATTTGTGAGAGAGAGAAAGAAAAAAGGAGACAAACAGAGAACAAAATTAGGGAGATAAACGGGAAATAGAATAAGAGAGAAAATAATAGACAGAGTACAGAGAAAAATAGAGGGCAAGACGGAAAGAGAGAGAAAATATAGAGATTAAGAGACAGAGAGACAGAGAAGAGAGCGAAATACATGCAAAAACAAAACCTTAAAAAGAGCTTGGAGAGAAAGGGAGAGAAAGTGATAGGCAGAAAACAGGGAAAACAGAGAGAAAGAGAGAGGAGAGCGAGAGAAAACTAAAAATAACGTTGAAGAGAGTGAGAGAGATATAGAGAGCGAGAGAAAAGTAAGAAAAAATCTTTAAAGAGAACGCGGAGAGTAAGGAAAAAATAGAGATCAGGAGGGAAAAAGGAGAGCGAGAGAAAACTAGGAAAAAACCTTAGAGGGAGAGAAAGCAGAACAAAGGAACAAGAGAGAGAGAAAAAACTACGAAAAATCCTTGAAGAGACAGAGAGAGAGAAACAGATAGAGAAGGAGAGAGAAAAAGGGGAGAGAAATGTAAAAAAAAAATTAAAGAAGGCGAGAGAAAAATATGAAAAAACCTTGAAGAGAGAGCGAGAGAATATTGAAAAAATACAGAGTAAGAAAGAGCGCGAGAGAAAAAAGGAAAACCTTAAAGAGAGAGCGAGAGAATAACGGAGAGAAAGTATTAGACAAAGTGAAATAATAAAAATTTAGAGAGAGAGAGTTAGGGAGTGAAAGAGAATGTGATACAGAGTAAGAGAAAGAGAGAGAGAGAGTGACAAAGCACGAAAAGGGTAGTTGAAATAAAGAGCGTTAATGAAAAATGAGTAAAAGACATTGAGAGGTAAGCGAGATTAAGAGCGAGAAACCTAGAGAGAGCGTAGGTCAGCAATATTTACCAAAGTGAGAGAGGGAGAGAGAGAGAGCGAGAAAGCATGATTCAAAACAATATACGATAGAGAAAACGTTTATATAAGACAGTAAGACAATGTTAATCACAGAGGCCTAATGGGAAAGAGGACGTAAGAGAGAGTGTAAATGAACATAAGAGACGCAAATTTGTAAAGAGAAGATGAGAAAGTATTGGATTGGGAGCATAAGAAAGAAATATCAATTTCGCGTCAGAAACCGAGAGGAGCAACAGAAAGATAATGTAAGAAAGTGAGAGTCATCGTGAGAAGCGAGAGATAAAGAGCGAGAGAGTGAAAGAGAGAGAAAGAGGGCGAGAGAGAGAAAAGTTAGAAATAAAATAGAAGGGAGTGTGTGACGCGACATTTAAAATGTAAGAAAAATAGAGTACTAATGGTCCATGACGGTTAGACGTTAATTCTTTTCTAAATGTTGAATTAATCATTTAAAAATAACGACCGCCCCCCTCTGCGCTTCTCAAAAATTCAAGTAGGGTCTGCCCATTTGCATGTAATTTCAGTGATTTTTCTTGTGTGTGATTAACAGTGGCTACAAACTGAAAGTGTAATGTAAATAAAAATTTCTGCTGTAACTATTTAAACTTAACAGTCGCCCTCCTCGGCGATTCTCAAAAATTAAAGTAGGGTCTGCCCATTTGCATGAAATTTCAGTGTTTTTTTTTTCGTGTGCTATTAACAGTGGAAACTATATTGTGAATTAAAAATGTGGTAGTCACAATTTAAGCAAAACAGCCGCCCTTCTCTGCAATTCTCAACAATTATAGTTAAGCGTACATTTGTATAAAGTTTCTGTGATATTTTTATACTTAATTAACAGAGTCTACAAACTGAAGTGCAGTGTGAATTAAAAGTATTATACTAATTAACGAAGCTTAATGGCCGCCCTGCTATGCGATTCTTAGGAACGAAATTCAGGCATGCATATACTTTAGCAGTAATATAGCAGAATGAAAAACTGGTGAGTAGAAAATTTACAACATTAAATATTTTAATAGCAGCTTACCTCAAGTTATATATGATTTAAAATGTAAGTTGAGCCGAAATTGATTGTGTAATTCCCGCCTACTTCCGACAGATACAAAGTTGACCCGCGTCTATTTAATTGCCAAAGCTCAACGTAAACGATGCAGGCCAAGTACGTCACATTTGTAAAGCACACTGCGTTGCTGTAAATGTTTTTCAAACAAATATTGAGGTCGATAGTCCCGAAACCCCTAAGAAAGTTTATTTAAACATTTTAGCTAGCCCCTATTATTTTTTATTTAATACCAATCTCTTAATGTGCACACAGATATTAGCGGGAATTTCCCCAGACCGAATTTATATCTTCTCTCTTTTCCAGCAATCTAAGCAGTTAGAAAATTAAAGCTCCCGTATAAGTTTAATTATCGACATCACTTAATATATAAACACCCCCAAATATATATTTTACGCGTGGTAATTTCAAAAATGGGTTCTTAGTATTGCCAAATCAATTTATATGCATACATATATAGTATATGCATGTATATCCAAATTATATTAAATTCCAGGTACTTGGGTTTTGCAAGACTTTCTTACTTCCGATCCCGCATTCCCCGAGGCTGATTTGAAGCACTTAAGTGACGGTTTAAAATTTTTGTGAACTTGCAACTTATTGATGAAAATCCCAAATGACGAATAACAAAGCAGATAAGAAAGAAGCAAACAGCGAAGCAAACAAGAATAGCCCCAAGTGATTTTAGACAGCGTGTAAATCACACGCTCGGCCCGCCAGAGATCGATGTCCTTTGCATTCCAGCTGTGTGACCGTATTTTCCCAAAAATTATTAGTAATACAAGACTAAACATATTCATCTCATACATATTTCTTCTGTGTATACAATTGCTTGCCTTTGCCGATTCATTCGTTCCAGGAGTTGTTTGCTGACTTCTGCTGCAACAGCTGTCAATTTGTGTTCCTTTTACTGCTGCAACAGCTGCTGCCATTTTTGGTATATTCTCTGCTTGCATCTTCGTCCAGGCGTCGCGCAATTCATTCGAGTTTCGGACACGAAGCGTTGCACACGTTCTACGACGCAAAGAAAATTCTAACTTATGGTATTGTTGTTGTTTTTTTAAATAACTGGTATTGTTGTTGTTGCAATTGTTGCTGCTGCTGTTAAGTGCTTCCGCATTTAAACTTGAGCTTAAGTCGACGACGTTGCGCGCCTTATGGCGAAAGCTGTTTACGAATTGATCTGGCAACGCTGCTTGGTTTCCCCCACCTACCGAAGCTTTGCTGTAAATATTCACAGAGCAAAGCTAAATTTAAGCAGCTTTAACACAACATTTTTAGTGTTATTTTCAACGTGAAGAAGACGAGACGTGTGAACAAATAAGCGGAGCGCAGTTTAATTAACTACAAGTTAAAGCGAAACGCGTACATAAAAGTGGAACAGCATGCAAACCAAATTACAAATATAGACAAATCGAAGAGGTGTGTGTTAGTGATAAAGCATAATAATTGTAAAACGATAAAAACGTTATCAAACCTTTAGGGAAATATATGAAAAAAACGAAAATAAAACAAACAAAAGAGTAAAACTTATAATTTGTGTGCATTAAACACAAAACTAGCAGCAGAAGCTGTTTAGCAGCGTGTGGCTGTGACTGTTTGCGTAGCTGTGTGTGTGTGTGTGAAACGAAGACAGGTGTACAAGTGGAATATAAAGCAGGCAACTTACAATATATATATATATATAAACTTCCTTTGCAAGTGGATGTATTAATCGCAATATTCCCCAATGAGCAACCGAAATATGTATATTTGTTGTTACTAATCATAACTTCGACATGCGCTAATCTCAACA